GAATAATTGCTTTCACATGAGAATGACTATTTAAATTTTTAAAATTATTTTCATTTAAACATCAAATTTTATGGTTTTTCAAACCACAAACAATCAAACAATTGACCAAATTTAGACAAGTTTTGAAAAAACAAGTTTTTCATAACACAATTATTAATTTTTATCTTTTTAAATTACTTTTAATAAAATCAATTAAAAGTATACCACAAGCAACTTCAACACTGCAATTAGCAATTAAATTTGCAGCTTGAACTAATCCATGCAAAGTACAAACAATGCTGAAAATATGTAAGTCTAAACATTGAAAAATATGAATAAAAAAAAAGATACACAAATAGGATTCACAAACACTTTTTAAAAAACAAAGTTTAAAACTATTAAATTTTTGTATTTAGTATATACACTATTATATTTTTTTTATATTATTATATACACTACTGTATTACTTACTATATTACTATTATATTTATCATATTTAGTATATATATATATATATATATATATATATATATATATATATATATATATATATATATATATATATATATATATATATATATATATATATATATATCATATTTAGTATATAGAGTAATCAATTAAATGGCTGTCATTTTTTAAACCAAGAAAATTTTCGTACAACTTTAACTACTATAAATTTTTACAGATGACACAACAGAGTAACTAGTATATCATTAATATAGTGATCAAAGAATAACCAACATTATTGATGAAACACACAAAACACCAGAGACCAGGTCTAGTTGGCTGAAGAAGTAAATGCAGTGAGATTTCACTATTCAAAATCAAATTTTTATGGATAAATTTTTTTCAAAATTAAGTCTTTTGGGAAGCTGAAAAAGGAAAATTTCATAGGTGCGAACTGGCATAAGAGCAAAGCGTTGCAAAAACTGGCATAAGTGCAAAGCATTTACAAAAAATGGAATAAGTGCAAATCGGCCTAAGTGGAAACTGGCATAAGTGCGCCAAATAAAATTGCAAACTTTGGTATTTTTGTTTGTTTGCACTTATGCCAGTTCAAACTTATGTTAATGTTTTCAATTTTATTTGGTACACTTATGCCAATTCGCACTTATACCGATTCACACTTATGCCAGTTTTTGCAACTGCTTCGCACTTATGCCATTTGTACTTGTGCCAGTTTGCACATATGAAATTTGCACTTATTCAGTCATCCCTAATTTTTATTATTATTTATTAAACATTTTTTAATCTATAATAATAATTGTGTTTTGGTGAACAATGAAGTTTTTTAAAGTAAGTTAATCAAAGTAATTTTAAAAACTTGTTTATAATAATGAATAACAACGAAATATAACAACAAAATTGAAAACAACTTCATAACCAAAAGAGTAGTTTTAGAAGTCACAAAGTTATAAAGAAATCTTGAAATTCTAATTTCTGAGAATCTTTTTTCTGATTCATTCAAGCAATTTGCCTGTTAAAATGTGCTAAATATCTTACTTTCACACAAAAAAGTCTTAGACTTTCTTTTAAAAATCCTCAACTTTGTATGTTTAAACATTGACTACTGCTAGACTCATTAATTGTGAATTTTATAATGCTGTGTTGCTGCTTTACCTTAAAAAAAATTTAATCTAGAACTCTTCCTTTTCATTTGCCTTTTTTGATGCTGTTGTCTACTTTGAAAAAGCACCATTCAAATGCTTTTTCAAAGTAGCTTTAGGTATTTATGGTTTTTCAAAGTAGACTTAGGTATTTATCTTAGGTATGTTTTGTTTAATGCACAACAAACCTATAAACTGCTTTTCTGATATTGATTAGCTTTAATGTGAAATTAGAATAATTTTTTGTTAAACTTTTAAAACTTATTTTCATTTGAAAATGAAAGTTTTCTAGGTTTGAAAACACTCAACAGTGTTGTCAATTAATACACTACAAATATGAACTAAAAAAAACTATGAAAATAAATAAAATGTAATAGTACGGAATAAATAAAATTAATCATGAATCGTCTTTAATTTCAATACTATACAATAATATACTATAAAATGTTAAATACAATATATACTATAAATAAATACAAAAATAAACTATAAAATGTTAAATACAATAATATAATATAAATTGTTCAATATCATGTAAACACTCACCTTTTTCAACCTTCTGCTCTTCTTGTTTCAAAAGAAAGCGTGAAAAATCCGGTGATATATTAAAAAAATTCATAGACTTGCCGATGAGATGCAAATTTTTTAAATCTAGTAAAATTGACCATGATTCACGCTCCAAAGTATTAAGTATTGATATATACTCTGATGATAAAAAAACATCTAAAATTAAAGTGGCATTTGTGTTTAGTGATGCAACAGCAGATGTTTGATGAGAAAGTGAATTTTTTGGACAAGTAATATCTAAATTACAATTGTCTTTCAACTGATGTGATTTAGAATTATGTTTAGCTTCACAATTTGAAACATTATGCTGGGCTATATGTTCAGAATTGTTTATGTTTCTTTGGTTAATCGAATTATTACACTCAATAGACATAGGTTGAACTTTAACTGCACTTACTGTACATAGAGCTAAAATTTAAGAAAAATAAATGATTAAACATTTAAAAATTTGAGAAATTAACAACAAATAAAATAAAATTAATTTTTAAATTTTCTTTGTGTAAAACTTTACAAAAATTAAAAAAAAAAAAAAAAGAATTAAAAATTTAATTTTTTTTTTAATTCAGAATTTTATATTTAACAATTAAATAACAATTTAATTGTCAAATTTTGTATTTGACAATTTTTATATTTACAGAATTTTATATTTGACAATTAAATAACAATTTCTAACTTTTAAGCACATTATTTTTATGGGACACTTGTGTTTTTATAAGTTTCTTTAATAGGGTAATCTATGTTTATTTCTCTTTTGAACTTTCAGTAATAAAATTTTAGTAAAAAAATTGTTAACTAACTTTCTTCTAGAAAGAAATAATTTAAAATCATGATAGGATACTCATTAGTACAAATACTTCTTTTAATTAAATTTTAAGTAAATTTTTTTTTGCCTGTTGGAAAATATTATCAGTGGGTCCAATTTTTACAAACTCTGAAAAACACTCTGACCCTTCAAACTATTGTTCGATCAGTCCTCTTTATTAATAAAAAGGTCTAGAAGTCTTTAATCAACAAATTTCTAACATCCCATCTAGAGTCTAATAACTTACTCTCTGTCTATCAATATGGGTTTTAATCTTCATGTTCTATGGCTAACTTGCTAACTGCTGTTGATTCTATGGCTGATTTGCTAGCTGCTGTAGACTTCATAACTTGCTGAAAGATTCTATCGTGCATTAGATAGAAGCAAATAGAGAATATGCTATTGTTCTTAACTTATCAAAAGCTTTCGATAAAGTTTGTCATACTGGTCTTATACATAAAGTTGCTTGATATAATTTATATGGAAAAGTTTCAGAGAGTATTAAATTATTTATTTCTAACCAAAGTATTTATATCATCCACGAAGACCAACACTCTTCTTCATTTCCATTAACTTCAGGGGTACTGCAAACATTTTTATGCTTGGTCCTGCATTGTCTTTTATCTATACAAGGGCAAACCCAAATCTGTTTTGGTACTGCTGGAGCGGTATAGGCGCCAAAAAAAAAGCATCTAAAAATAATTATTTATACTTTTTCTTTTGCTTTTTTATTAAAAATTGGAAAATTGATGCAAATGATGCAAATAAATTTATTTATGCCTTTTTTATTAACCATAAACTTATGTCCACCACTATGTCACACATTCAGAGAAATGCCTTTTAAAACGAGAATTTAAAATCAACTCCTTATCATAACACAAAAAAAGGAAAAAGTGAATGAGCTGATATGAGTGATAACGAATGAATAAGATAACACAACATTTAGCGATTAGAAGGATAATAGAAAATAAATAAAATAAAAGGATATAATTAAAAATTACGACAAGACAAAAAATATAAAATCACTTGAATAATAACAACAAATATAAAAAGCAACAATAAAAAAAAAAATTAGCAACACCAAAAAAAAAAAAACACTAAAATATAAACAATACTTATAAGTACACATCAATATAAACGATGCACAAAATTACATGACAGTATAAACAAAATACACATGACAATATAAAAAATACACAAAAATACACGACATTATAAATAATACACAAAAATACATGACAAAATAAACAATGTAAACAACATAAATTAATAAAAAATTGTTCTTTTTGTTTTCTTTTAACAACTTATTATTTACAAGTTTATCAATAACATATTTTTCTTTTAACTTTACTTTCAGTTGGTTATTGTTTTTCTTTGATTTTTATTTTTTAATGTTTTCATTGTTTTCAATTTATTAGTTTTTTTTTTAAATCTTATATTCTGAATAAATTTTTTACTTTCCTTTTCCTCTTTTATCTATTTTTCAGCTTTTCGCTGTTAAAAAAAAATATTCTCCATTTACGATGTCATTGCTAAGTCAACATTCTGCATTATTGATCTGACAATCTTACATCTAAGATGGCTCTACTTGCTGACAACTCAATTTTATACACCTGTTTTGAAAAAAAGCCTTCTCTTTTTGATTGCTTAGAACAGGCCGATCTTGAATCTGATATTTTTTCTTTGAAACTTTACAGTTTGCAGTGACTTATAAATTTTAACTTCAACAAAACTCAGTTATCTACTGCAAATAATCTTGTTAACATTTCTATATAACTCAATATTGTTAACATTCCTATATTATTGAATGGCAACCCTCTCACTGAGTCTTCTTATATTAGCACTGACCTCTTACAGATAATGCTAAAGCTACTTCTCTTTATCTTACTCCTGATTCCATTCTTTATCTCTACAAATCTCTTACTTCCTCCTGTATGAAATACTGTTGTCGTATTTCAACTGGTTCTTCTAACAATGCTCTTTCTCTTCTAAACAAGGTCCTAAAACTCATAACAAATGTAGTAGGACCTGCTCTATCTTTCAAGTTTGAGCCAGTTTCCTTGCTCTTTAACACTATTCTTTGTTTTCTAGTAACCCTTAACTTAACAGTGGTTGCTTGCAGTCTTGTTGGGAGTGAATTAGTTTTTTAAGAAATATATATTCCATATTTTTATTTCAATATTCAAACAAATTTATGCAAATTTAATAGTGCTAGGGTTTAATAGTGCAAATGCATACAAAAAAATCATTAATTATACAAAGCAAATAAAACATAATGTTACAAAAAAAATCATTTTATTATTTCATCATTATCTCATTTTAAAACAAAACAAAAAAATTAATTCTAATCAAAGACAACTATATAGCAAGAGCAACGAATAATCTTTAACAAAATATTTATCGCATTACCAGACACTGTGTGTTTTACACAACACTTTCTTTGCTGAACAACAAATTTCTTTATCTAAGTTTAACTTAGATAAAGAAATTTGTTATTCAGCAAATTTCTTTATCTAAGTTTAACTTTTGTGTCAATGAAAAAAATTTAAATGCTTCTTCAGCTCAACATGTTCAAATTATATCTTTAATACTTTAGTAAATCATTTAACTTGTTATAACAATCCATCTGTATCTTTTTTGTTTTATCCCATCACTTTACAACTACATCAAAAACCAAATTAAGTTAACAAATATTTGAAATGTTTTGCATACCACCTTAAGGTATGTGAACTCATTGTTAGTTCACTGCAATTTTTCATATCATAAACATTTCAAAAAATAAATGATTCTTACCCGCCTACCCTGAAACACACCCGCCTACCCTGCCTGCTCAATATTAACAAGATTAATTGAAAAAATCAAATTTAAAAATTTAAATAATTATTTTGAATCTCATCAAATAATTTTCCCATTAATTTTATAATAAAATAAAACATACCTGGTTTTACAAATGCCTTTACCTTCTTTGTTGATGGCAAAGGATCAAATCGTCCAGTTCGTAACATCATAAAAGAATCTAATGGTGATTGATACACTTTAGGTGAAGTACACATCATTTTAACTTCACCTTTTGTTGTTTCTGGTTTTTTAATTTTTAGATACTTTGTAAAAGAGAGTTTATTTTCTTCCTTCTTATTAAAGTCTATCGAATTGCCTTCATTGGTATTAAAGTCAATTATATTAGCTTTTTTAGTAACAAGGTCCATTGCATTGTTTTTTACATCATTAGTATATTTGATATTTTCACTCTGAAATGTTAAGTGCTGCAAAGTTAAAAACTTTCTTCCAGCAAACATCCAGTCAATTACATTCTCCTCATCTAAAAAATTAAAAAATGTCTTTTTCTTTAAAACGTTATCAAAATGCTTTTAAAATACCCCCAATAAAACTAACAGTTTTATAACAAAAAATTTCTGCTCCTAGGAAAGTTGCCACCTGCTTCAGACACAGAGGTTTAGGTATCAAGTTTTTTTTTTTCACAGTACTTTATATGAAGTGTTTTTTTTTTTATGTTTTTTTTTCTCTAAACAATAAATCTTTACAACTATAGTTTTTAATTAAAATAAAAAAAAAAAACAATTAGTTGAAAACAATTAATTGAAACAACATTTTTATATTCAAATGTTCCAAGGTCAAGGCCACATGTTCCAAGGACAAGGCCACATGATCCAAGTCTAAGGCCACAAGTTCCAAGGCCAAGGTCAAGTTCAACAAAAAAAACTAACAATTAGTAATTGAAACAACATTTTTATATTCAGCTTTAAAAACACTGTTTAAAAATGAATAACTTGAAAAATGATAAAAAAAATTTATCAACTAAAAAATATATACTAGATAAATATAATGTTGTATTTAAATCTTTTTCTTACTGACTATTTAATTACTTTAGATTAATTTAGAATTTAGTACTAGATAAATATATACTATTTATTTTATTTAAAATAGAATAAAATAAACTAACCATCATTTGGAATAATCTCTTTACTAAATGTGAAAGTGAAGATATTTGATAGTGTTTCACTGTTCAGAGTTGTAACAAGAGATTCTTCAGCTAACTTCATTTCTCTACCAAAATTAAACAATGGATCCCACTCAAGACTATCATCGTTTAATTTGCTTTCTTTGAAATACTTTACAGGAGGTAAAGAAAATGTTTCACTTTGAAACACAGGTTCCTCCAGCACTAAAAAATTAACTTTTGAAAAAACTCAAATTTTCATAAAAATATGAATATTTAATAATAATATGAATTTATTGTAAAGAACAAAAAACTTTGAAACCACCAAAAAATATTTCAAAATCTTGCATACCTGGTAGTAGCAGCAATAACTTTTCATCATATCTTTTATCTGCATCTCTCAAACTCTTTTCTGCTTTCAATTTTGACTTTGGTGTCAAAATATTTCTAAAATAGTTTAATATATTGAAATAACATAAATATATTTATGCTTTATTTATAACTAAATTTTTCAACTATATTTTACTCATGCATTTTTAATTTTGCAGCATAATATGTGTAAATTAAATTAGCAACACAAACTAATCTCAAAATTAAATATTGCAACTCTTAACTCTTCAGTCCACATCAAACATGCTATATATACAAGTATAAGTTGAAGAATAAAAACTAATTAAACTGTTTTGAAACAATTTTTCCAAATTTATGACAGATATATTTTTTTCCATGATTAAAAAACTGATAAGATTTATAAAAAATGGTAAAAATTACAATAAATGTCAAATAAAAAGAATAACAATAACATACATTAAATGTCAATAAAAGATTTGCAACAAATGTCAATCAACATTTACGAAAACTAATTAAAGGTTATTAAAACTCACAAAACATCAATCATTAAATTTTCTGCATGTAGATTCATATCAGGAAGCTCCATAAAACTTCCGTAGACACTTTCAACATCTGATAATGGGGATTCTAAATTTTTATTAACTGAAGTTTGTATTTTCATTGGCTTCATACTATCTAAACATAATTCCAACACAAAAATGAATTTCATTTCAAAAAAAATTTTTTTTAATAAAAACAAGTAAAAAATATGTTTAAAAATATATTAAAAGGAAATAAGAAAAGTTAAAAAATTTATGTTAAACCTGTGGTGATATTAATTTCTCCATCGAACAACTCGAACATCGAACAATTATATGCAAATAAATCTGAGTAGAACCATTTTAAAGTATCTTCTAAAAATAAAAGGTTTTGAAAAAATCTTTTAAAATGCAGTATTTAACATTTGCAAAAATTAGAAATTTGAGAAAGAGAAGTTTTTCCTTTTTGGTGGATTTGATATTTACAATTGCGTGATAAAACATTTATGCCCAAAATAGAATTATTCAAAATTCTAACATTTTTCTTGTAAAACTGTTTACTTTTGTAATCCTTAAATTATATACAAGTTTGTTTCTTGAATTTTCATATTAGCAGCCTTAAATAACTAAACAAATGATAAAATGATACAAGTCAGTAAGTAAGGTCAATTATGACAAAACTGTATCCAACAAAATTTTGACTAATCGTCAAAGAATTTTGAAATATATTAACTATCAAAAAAACTTTTTAGTTTTCAGGATTCCACCAATGGCATTCAAATTAAGTAACAAACTACCATTATTTTATTCTGACCATCAACTCTTACCAGCTTATAAAGAATTACTTTTTAAACAATTTCTTTCTGCTTGTGCAAAACATTTTGAATATGTTTTAAAGATCTCTGCATTTGAGAGTAAGTAAAGTCTTGTTTAAAGTAGTGTTTAAATTCCATGAGTTGATTGTTTAATTTGTACTAGACTTTCAGCTAACTGATTAAGTCAATTTCTGATAATTAACTTTAAGTTAATAAGCAAAAATTGACTTTTTTTAGTAAAAAAGAGTAATAATGCTTATAAAATTAGAGATGCACAACTCAAAAAAATAGTTGATAGAACTATTATGCTCCTATATTGATATCATAGCTTCTTTATTGCACATTGATGCAGAAATTAATTACTCTTACATTAAAGATTTTTAAAATACCTCTCTGAAATTAAGGTGTAATGTCATTTTTTAACTGTTTATCACAGTTTACTAATTCAGATTTTTAAAAAAAAAAAATTTCCCCAAAGATTCTACAACCACAGTTGCACACCACAGTTCACTATTTTTAGCCATTGGCTTTTTTTTTTGTATTTATCAACCAAGTCAACATAATCAAAAAACTAAATGTAATTTTTTATTGCTCTAAAAACTTTTGAACAAACTCTTTCAGTTATGTATTTATGAAAAATACTTGAAAAAACTGAACTTGGTACTGAAAAAACTTGACTGCTTCAGATAATTCTAAAAATTTGATAATTTATAAGTCTTGCAGATGTGTTACTAAATGAAACTCTATAGTTGTGATTAATTCTATTACAATTATCAATTATAATTATATCAACTGTACTTTTAGACGTTTACAAATTAGAAATTTTTGGAATTTTAAACTATTTTGATATTCAATATAAACATGTAAAATATTATTGCTGTACCCACCATTAGTAACTATTCCTTCATAAGTTGTGTTATAAATTCATATCTCCATAGTTTTTTGAAAAACAAAGACTTATAGCCGTCAGTATGAGTCTTGATAATTCACATCTCCATAGGCAAACACTACTGAGCAAAGTTTGTTGATGGAGTTGTGAATTTATATTATTTATTACACACTAGAAGAACAATCTATTTCTTTAGTTTGCACTTATTATTAATTTATTGCCAATTTTAATAATGTACTGTTTGATGCTCAGTGAATTGAGCTGTGGAATATTTTCTTCTGAGGGAGGCTAATGACAGTTGTAATGACTTTTAACATGTCACTATAAATTTCACAATAACTTATGACAATCTGAGAATATTTTTTAGAAAACAATTAAACAATTGAAATCAAAAGTTAAAAATCTAATTAAAATATACACGACTTGATTTTTGTGCCTATAAGTAAACTGACAAAAAGCACAATAAAATTTTTTTAATGTTCAAGAAACCCTAAACAATTTGTAATGTTCAAGATGTAATACCTAATAACTCTCCCTAAATCATAATAACAGAGTTACAAATATACACAGAGTTTTATTATAAGTCACTTTTGTTCTCCTTAACCTGAGGAATGATAAAAACATGTAGCATATGAAACTACTAGAGAAAATAAAATTAACAAACAGTATTTTAAATCTTTTTCTTATATCATAACTAAAGTCCACAAAAAAAATATACTCAACATTTCTTTCTATACATAAATTATATTGTCTATAAGGTATAAAGATGGCACCTTTCCCATTACACATAAAATTGGCACTACTCAATATTTTAATAAAAAATATAGCTATAGTTAAGAGTGGTTTCATTTTCAGAGTTTTAATAAACGATATAGCTATAGTTAAGAGTGGTTTTATTTTTGACTTTATTAGTTTCCTTTTATAACATTTTTTTCTCACTTAAAATACACTTTTATGTAAAATACAAATTTATATAATCAAATTAATTTATTTAAAACTTTTTAAACCTGAAACAGTTACTGAAACATCAAGTATACTATTCAAGTAATTTTTTAGATCAAGCAAAGGATCTTCAAACATATTTTCCATAATATAATTTTCACAAAGAAACATGTCACCATTCTAAAAAAACAAAACTTTAAATAAAATTAAAATATTTATTTAGATTTTAAAAAAAAGTTGTTTTTAATTTAGATAATATATATCTATAGATAATATAAAAAAGTTAAAATAAATTATATTTATCAAAGTATATCATATTTATATATCAGTAATAACTACTATTATTAATTTATCTACCATAATTGTTTCTTTTGTTTTTTACATTTGGATTTAAATTAAAAATTTTAAGTTAGTAAAACTACCATGGATCCCAATGGCTAGCCCAAACTTTAAAATCAAAACAAAAAGGCCATATCATATCAGCTAAAAAAAAACACTTTACAAGTTAAGTATCTGTATCCAAACAATATTTCAGGTCATTTAAATAATGTGAAAACCAAAAAATAATATCAAGATGCAAATATTAAAATAACAATTTCAAAATGAAAAATTGACTGATTTTGTAAATTTAGACTTTTCAATATTTCAAAACTTGCAATGTTACTTTTCCTGGTTAAATACTGTCAACTTATTTATTTTCCTGGTTAAAAATTGTCAACTTATTTATTTTCTTGGTTAAATACTGTCAACTTATTTATTTTTCTGGTTAAATACCGCCAACTTATTTATTTTCCTGGTTAAATACCGTCAACTTATTTATTTTCCTGGTTAAATACTGTCAACTTATTTATTTTCCTTGTTAAATACGGTCAACTTATTTATTTTCCTGGTTAAATACCGTCAACTTATTTATTATCCTGGTTAAATACTATCAACTTATTTATTATCCTGGTTAAATACCGTCAACTTATTGATTTTCCTGGTTAAAAACCGCCAATTTATTAATTTTCCTGGTTAAATACCATCAACTTATTTATTTTCCTGGTTAAGTACCGTCAACTTATTTATTATCCTGGTTAAATACTGTCAACTTATTTATTTTCATGGTTAAATACTGTCAACTTATTTATTTTCCTGGTTAAATACTGTCAACTTATTTATTTTTCTGGTTAAATACCGCCAACTTATTTATTTTCCTGGTTAAATACCGTCAACTTATTTATTTTCCTGGTTAAATACTGTCAACTTATTTATTTTCCTTGTTAAATACGGTCAACTTATTTATTTTCCTGGTTAAATACCGTCAACTTATTTATTATCCTGGTTAAATACTATCAACTTATTTATTATCCTGGTTAAATACCGTCAACTTATTGATTTTCCTGGTTAAAAACCGCCAATTTATTAATTTTCCTGGTTAAATACCATCAACTTATTTATTTTCCTGGTTAAGTACCGTCAACTTATTTATTATCCTGGTTAAATACTGTCAACTTATTTATTTTCATGGTTAAATACTGTCAACTTATTTATTTTCCTGGTTAAATACTGTCAACTTATTTTCCAAAATTATTCTAACAATTATTTCTGTTTATTAAAAAAAGTCTTGTTTTAAATGTCTTGTTTGCAAAACATTTAAAACCATTTAAAAATTTCTCAATGACACAAAATCAGGAAATGTTATCTACTTTGATATATTGAACAATTTCAAAGTTGCTTTTGATTGTTTTACCACATCCATAAACATGTGGTTTAAAGATGAGGGAAACCGGAGTTATATATTCCAGAATTAAACCAGAAAGATCAAAACCATCATTACAAATAAAAAAAATTAAAGAAGAGGCAAAAGAAAAATAGATTATTCAAAATCAAGTTAGGCTAAATGCTTTAACAAAGCAACAACAAAGACACAAATTTCTATAATAATAATTGGAAGTTTTATGGAACAATTAACTATTTGGAACTAATTAACAGTGTCTTTTTTTTTTTTAAATGGAACTAATTAATAATTTCTTTTTTTAAAAAGCTGGGATCAGTTAAAAGTTTCTTTTTAAAAAAAGCTGGAACTAACTTTTTCTTTAAAAAAAAGCAGGAACTAATTAACAGTTTCTTTAAAAAAAAAGCTAACTAGTTAACAGTTTCTTTTGAAAAAAGCTGGGACTAATTGAGAGTTTCTTTTAAAAAAAGAATTTGACAGTTGAATAAGTAACAATCAATCAAATAAGCTGTAATAATGTTAGAAAAATTTTTTAGTTAAAAGATGAAATCATTTTACAAAAAAAACCATTCATTAAAATCAATGCAACAAATAAACACACACACACACACACAAAGAAAGAAAAAAAAAAGAAATTTTATAGCCCTATTCTATTTAGAAATTACATTACTTTAAATTATACTGTACGTATCAGTCAATTTGGTTTTGCTATAACTAATGTTATGTTTAAAGATATTTTATTCAAGGCAGTTGAGTAATGGTAAATTCAAACTCAAAAAAAGACTGGGGCTGTTAAATTATAAAAATGAGAAAGAAGTTAATCAAAAAACATAATATAGTGCATGATGGTTGTATTTAAATAGTACCTCTGACAACAAATCTTTCTCAAACTTCAAAACTTCTTTTGAAACTTGATCAAAGCTTTCTGATGGAACAAACTCTAATACTAACTTAGATAATCTATGAAAATGAATTTTAAAGTAGTTATTTATAACTTGAAGTAATTTATTACAAACCATCTGAGTATTTTCAAAATTCAAACAATTTATTTAATTTTCTTTTTATTGTGAATATAAACATTTCTAACACAACTATTTTTTTGCTATTTACTTCACTATTAAAACTTAATATACAATGTAAACTGCACATCTAAAATATGAAAATAGAAGGAGATCGAACTCTTTTAAAAATCATAATCAACTTATAAATCATATAAAAAATTAACTATTATTATAAACTTTGAATGTGGTTGTAAGTAAGTTGATTTTGATTAAAAACACAGCAAAACATAAAAGCAAATAAATTGTGCAGAGTATGAATTGAACCATCTATTAAAGAAGCATGTTCAATTACAAGCTTAAGAAAAACTTGTAAAAGAATAAACAGGATTGAAAATCTATTTTAAACCCTACTAGATAACGTTATATCATAATATGTATATTATGATATAACGTTATCTAGTAGGGTTTAATCAACATCAATCATTATTATTGTATTAGTGCTGCTGTTTTAACACTTGTACTGGTCTAATAGTTCTTATAATGCTATTTCTCTATTCTTAAACATATTTTTTTGCTGAAGCAACCATCTCTCTACATGCTGATAACTGATTTTCCAGTTAATGAAAGAATAAGCTCAAGATTGCATTTTTATGCTCTACATGGCCAAACAACCTGATACTTCCAAGACACACCCTATCAGGCAATGTACTGTTTTTAGTCTCTGAGTAAGATGATTGTTTCTTTTCTCATCTTGCAGAGCCACACAACACATCCAACACCACACATCCATCTGATCATCAACTTTTCTATTCCTTCAAAAAGCATCAACCTTGATTGCCCATATTTCACAGTCGTACATCATAACACTCTAGATGTATGTGATATATAACTTTTTAAAACTTTAGCGATGCAGCCCTTGCTATTAGAAGTGGAGATTATTCTCTGAACAAGAATCAGGCTCATCTTCTTCTTTCTCCTAATACCTCTTCTAATTCACAAGCCCAAGATAAAAATCTTAAGCCTTTTTGTTTCCATTCCATCCTCTGATTTAAGGTTTGTATGTTTTGCCTTATGCAAAACCAAGCAGTAAAAGAGCCTGTCTTCTTTATTCTCAGACTTTTTCCACACTTTATGAAAATTATTTGTTTCTTCTGCAATTTTAACCACTTCAGCATTCCAGCACCATGGTTTCTTGTATCTCTGAGGTTACTTTGTAAAAATAATAACAACAGCAACAATAACAAGAACATAATAATATAAAACAACAACCTAATAATAAAACAACATAACCTTATAAACATAATAATAATATTAAGAACATAATAAAATAACTTGACAATATAAAAATAAAATAACATAACAACATGAACAATATTTAAGAAACATAATAAAATAACACAATAACAAATATAACAAAACACAGTAAAAATGTAAAAACTTGCACAATAACAACATAATGATAAAATAACAATAACAACATAATGATAAAATAACAATAACAACATAATGATAAAATAACAATAACAACATAATTATAAAATAACAACAACAAAATAATAAAACAACACATTAACTTAGCAATAAAATAACATGATAAGATGAAAAGTATTGTTAAATGTATTTATTGCCCATTAATTATACTTCCCTTGTATAAGAAATACAGTTGTTTTTGTTTATTTTTTGCTCTAAAGTTTAACGCCAATTGTTCTACATGGTTTGGATGGATTTCCATAATACCATTTTCTTATTTAAATATAACATTATAAAAGTTAAAGCATTTTTTTAAAACTAGATGCCCTTCCAGGCATTACTCTGCTTTACTGATCAAGACTGAAATTTTTTTATTGTGGCACTATCACTAAGAAAATTCAAAGTTTACCTCTCCTACCATCGCCACAAATAAATTGGGGGTTTTCATATCAGAGTTTTCCTTTTCCTAAGTAAGTTACCATTATGAAAGCTAAAAAGGATAACCTGCTCTTAGGATAAACAATGTTTACCTCTTCTACCCATCACCACAAATAAATTGGGGTTTTTTATACCAGAGTTTTTCTTTTCCTAAATAAGTTACCATTATGAAAGCTAAAAAAGCTAACCTGCTCTTAGGATAAACAATGAACTTATCTGTGGTAAAAAAAAATAATGCAACATCCAACTAATTATACTTTAAATATATTAGAGCTTTAAATAGAAAACTTAAAACTTTTAAATTTACAATTTTATATTTTAAAATTTATTTATTTTTTATCTATTAATAAAAAAATTACCATGATATTTTTATAATACAAGATAAAAAAAATCACCAATAAAAATACAAGAGCTTAAAAGATCTAAAACCTCTTTCTACTTTTTCTCACATTAAACTAAGAACAAAAATAGGTATTCTTCAAAAACACAAAAATAGGTATTCTTCAAGGTGAGGCCATAGTGAGTTGTTAAATTCACAATAACTAAAAACCTGCTCTGTTTGTGTTATTTGCTCTGTTTGTGTTATTCATTATTTATTTATAACTTTAGAACATTACTGTAAATTTTTTGGAAATTTTAATCAAAAACAATTTTAAATCTACATACCCAGTGAAATAAGGCAATGTAAACGGGTCTAAAACTTTAACAGGTCGCAAACATGAAATAAGAGATAACAAAGATGCTGATGAATGATTTTCAATTCCATATTCAATTTCTTCAAGTAAGAGTTCTAAATTAATAATTTTAAATATTTACAAGTTTATTATATATAATAATTTTACGTTTTACATTTACAAGTCTATTTTATAACTTTTTATTAATTTTTGCTAATGAAAAGTTAACAAAGTTTAAAACATGCAAATATTATGTATGCAAGACAACAACATATTTAGAGAAATTAATTGCAGTCATAGAAAACTAAATTTATATAACTTTAACTTAATTAAGCATAACTTTGTTCAAAATAAAATTTTTACAAAAAAAACTGAATAGTCTAATACATCAAAATTTCACACAAGGAAGAGTTTCTCAAGGCAGTTTACTAAAACAGTTCAAATTTTGAGGTATTTTCAATGCAAAAAAAGCCGATTATTAAAATGCATACTAGCCATATGTAGCAGTACAGCCAAGCAAAAGTACAACCAGCACAAGGGTGTGGTCATGTTAAATGTGTGACACTTCCTGCCCCCATCCCATTACAAATATTTAATTAGAACAATCATCAAATTATAATTAATTAGTCAGCAGTTAAAGAGGTTGTTTTTTTATAGTCAGCAAGTATTATATATACTTTTATATTTGCATAATAATAATATAATTTTTTTTTTTTTACAAATTGAGGCTTGCAGTGGCTTGTGATTTTTAACTCCAATATAACTCAGTTAATCCCTGCAAACAACTATCACAACACATTCCTATATTAATGAAGGGCAACCTTCTCACTGAGTCCTCTACTACTGACCTCTCATGGAAACCGTATATACATACAATTGCTAAATTAACGTCTGTTACTCTGTTACATCTATTACTCCTCATAATAATTATCTCTACAAATCTCTTATTCGTCCCTGGAATACTGTTGTCGTATTTAGGCTGGTTTTTCTAATGATGCTCTTTCTCTTTTAGACAAGGTCCAAAAATGCATTGTAAATGTAGTTGGATCTGTTCTATCTGCCTAGCTTGAGCTTCTCTCTTATCGTCATAAATTTGCATCTCTTTCTCTTTTCTACAAATACTATCATGGTCTGCTCAATAGGGCTATCATCTATGGTTCTACCAACCAAAACTCATTCTCGCTTGACTCCTCATTCAGCATTTTAAAGTCTTCTGTCAACCGTTGCTCTTTAACTATATGTAACTTTTACAACCTATAACTTTTCTTATAACTTTTTTAAGTCACCTGTCAACCGTTTCTTTGCTTTTTAACTATATTCTTTGTTTTTTAGTAACTCCCATTTTAATAGTGGTTGCTTGCAGACTTGCTGGAAGTGAATTAGAACTAAAAATATATACACTTTTAGTCATAAAAAAATTAACTTGTAAACTAATTATTTTAATTATGGATGTAATTTCTTCAAAGAAACTTTTTATGTCATAAAAGACCTAGTCTTTTGATCCGATTGAGTTTTAAAATATGTCTTAATATGGGCATGACAAGGTTTTGGTTGCTATGGTTTTTAGTTGTCTTTTTAGTTTTACAACGAAATACAAAAAAGGAACTGATACAACAATATTTGATATCTTTAAACAAAGTTCTTCAACAAGTTTCAAATCTTTATTATCTGAGAGTAGATTTTCAGAAGCTTCATGTATTTTCATGTCAGTTGATGGCAAATCATCTCGGTTGTAGTTGTTGTTGGTTTATTTAAAATCTTTTGAAAAAATGAAAAAAGTAAAACAAATATTCATCAATTTATTCAATTCACCTTCCTAACTAACACTGATTTTGACATAAAAATTGTGAATTTCTAATAACTTTTGAAAAAAGTAAATTAAAAAACAATAATTACAGTGTGATACTTTAGTATTGCATTAAGTTAACTGCACTAATTTTAAACAAAATCAATATATACATATTTTCCTCAATATCAAAAGTAGCAAAAAAAAGGTCTAGATTACCCTAACTTACCTTATTCTCTAATTCATACAAATGTATGTAAGTTTTTAAAGATTCTAACAAATGCTATTTTAATAGTTCAATTAAAGAAAAGGGTATTACTAGATAATAAAGCAGGGTGTATGACATATTACTAGACTGTAAATCACTAAATTGAATAAAGCTTACTAATGCATCTACTGTTCTTTTTATTCTGTTTCTTTATTTGGCAAATTCTTTCTTACATCTTTGTATTGTTGTTTTAAATTAAGTTTTTTTTTGAAGTGGCTTAAAAAAATTAAAATAAACTTCAAAGTTTGAAAAAAATATGAATTTAAAGTTATTTAGGATAATACATTATTTTGTATCTGGTTCTGCAAAAAAAATAAGTTTTTTTTAAAACATTTTTAGCTTTATATACTTAAAACATTTACTTGACACATACAATATTAAAAAAGTTATTGGAAAAGCTCATTAGAAAAAATTACAAAGCTTAAAACCACATTTTCGTTTGGATTAACCCTGTGCTACCTTTGTGAAGTTTAAGAATTTATTCTGCTCTCACTAAGGCTAGACAAATAAACCCGCTGTGCAGAGAAATAAGTTTAGTGCACTACTACCAAGGGTGTGTTGGGATTAAATTCCAAATTGTGCACTAATTCTTAATTAATTCTATATGAATTTTAGTAGATTTTTTTCTCTATACACAAAACCCATCAACTACAATGTATTTAGGCTAAAATGTTACTAATTTGTTTTGCACAAGTTTTAAATTTCATATTCATTTCAGAAAAAGAAAATGAAAAATAATTTAAAAAATATATAAGTTTTTTTTTTTCCTATATAGAACTCTTTCATACAGAGATACTACCTGCTTGAACTTAAACTGTCCATCAATGTACAGAAGGTTATGATGCATATCAAATTTACATTTAATAATTTCATACCAATCCCAGTCATATATAATTTTGAATCGTTTACAATCATATGTAATGGGAGACTTTCCTGATTGTAGAACATTTCTTTATTTTAAGGGAATTTGTTTTTTTGAACTCAAACTCTAGCCAAATCACTAAAGTATTTTCCCAATTCAAAAATATAACGAGGAAAATATTTAAAATAATAAAATATCTGAAGTAAAAGTTTTTGTAAAACTGTTGCAACAAAAATAGGTAAATGTTTTTTAAATACCATTGACGCAAACTTCCAAGTGGTACTTTACTACATAAAATATTTACCAAAAATTTTAAAATTAGTTACTTGTGTATATGCTTAATATAAAGTCAATTATTAATTTGCATAATCATAATATTTTTTATAACCATAAAATGGCCAAAAAACAAGTCTGCAACTGCATCAACAAATCTACTTGCCATCAAAAAAAAAGTATATATAATGATTAGTAAAATTTTTAAATTAAGGTATACAAACCACTTGATATCTTTTCATTAAATTTAATGTACAGGAATGATACAGAGTTGTCTAAAGAAATCTAGAAACTTAAAAAAAACTTTTTATTCTTTATTAAGTGAAATAAATAAAGTGTTGCAAATCTGAATTTAAAAAAAAAAACACAATTCAAAAAAAATACAACTCTTCCATACAAATATTTGTCTAAAATTTTATATCACACACATGCAAGGGAAAGCCTATTAAAAAATAAATTACTTTTTTCATTTTATGATACAGGTGATTAGCTAATATACACTAATATTTTTTTTGAATGATTCATATTTTGTCTCCATAGAAACATCAGATGTTGCTTTTGCAGTAGCGCTTTTGCAGTAGCCTCCTTGACTTGCAGTGGCCTTCTCGGCCCCAAGGCCGAGAAGGCCACTGCAGTCAAGGAGGCTACTTTAGGTGGCGTTACAACGAAATCTCTACTCAAAAACATGAAACTTGATAAACAAGGTCGCTGCACAGAGAAACAAGTTGAGCATGGTACTATCAGGGATGTGGTGGGGATTGAACTTGAAATGGGGAAGCTTTACCATTTTTTTGAAATTTTAATAGGGATTTTTTGTTTTTAATTTTGTGCATGGCTGATGGTTGTTGTGTAGACATAAAACTTATAGTTTCATAGAAAAACTTGTTTTTTTCTATCAAATATATAACTTATTTATTACTATTTTATTAATATATTTAAAAAGCTTCAAACTTTCTAATAATTATGCACTCTTGAAGACTTTTGCAATAATAATGAATCAAGCAACTACAACAGTAATACTTTTTCATATTAATTTAAGTATTCTAGTGAAAAAAATTTGACTAAACTGGGGGGTTGTAAGTTTTACAGGATTTTAACTTTAGAACACTAAAACATAATTAGATGAAAGTGAAAACCTGTAGATAAATTTAGTATAAGATAGTGAAACTGAATACTTTTTTAACTTGTTGCTTTCACATTTGAGCAAAGTAGCTTGCAGGGGTAATTTTGTTTCCAGACTACAATTAACAAAATCTTTCGCAAAACATATTAATTTGAACTAAGCATGAACATACTTAAATTTCATCCATAAAAGATGCTTTTTAAATGTCTTTTGAATGTTAAAAAATTATTTTGCAGACCAAATGCCATTATGCATGCTACACAGATTTAAAGTTGTGCTAGAGTTTTGTACACCTAAAGCAGTTTTGCCCAATTACTTCCAAAGATGATTTAAAAACTGTCACCATTATATGTAGAAAAACTGTCACCATTAAATATATAAAAACTGTCACCATTATATGTAGAAAGTTAGAAATTAGAATAGTTTACATAATTGAAAGTCAATTTATAAAAGAATGTTTTCTCAATTTAATTTCAATTCTAATAAATGGAAATTTTTCAAATCAAAATATATATATATATATATATATATATATATATATATATATATATATATATATATATATATATATATATATATATATATATATATATATATATATATATATATATATATTGTTGTTTTATTGTACCAAATTAAGATACAAAAGTCTCTTGTTCGTTTGAGAGTGATCAATATAATGTAAGTGTTTACAAAATAGATCAATAATAATAATAATAATAATAATAGAGTTTGATTATTTGAAAAAATACAACTTTGTGATGGTACTTGAAGTTTCATGCCCTTCGGCAATCATCAGCCGTATTTTATTCTTTTTAAATCAACCATATTTTATTCTTTTTAAATCAAGAAAAACCGTTTTAACGGTTTTTCTTGATTTAAAAATAAAATATGGCTGATGATTGCCAAAGGGCATGAAACTTCAAGTACCATCACCAAGTTGTATTTTTTCAAATAATCAAACTCTATTATTATTATTATTATTATTATTATTATTATATATATATATATATATATATATATATATATATATATATATATATATATATATATATATATATATATATATATATATATATATATATATATATATATATATATAAGGCATTCACTTTAAGGAACTTTTGATGTCATAAAATTCTTTTCATTTGCTTTTCACATTTATTGACATTTTATAATTAACAATGTAGAAATGTTATTATGTAATAATGTTATTGAATGTTTACTTGGATTCTGTTTTGTTTTTTTTATTTAAATTATTTTTTTATTTTCTGGACATTTGACACAATCATGTTTTGTTTATAAGTGAATGAATACAAAAAATTGTGTTTGATTTTTTGAAAACTAACTAACAGTTTTGCAAAAAACAATTTTTAATATTTAAAAAGTCAGCAATTAATAAACTAAAAACTTTAAATATTGCAAGAAAAAAAACAATATTTAAGTTTTTTAATTTATTTGTTTAATTATTCAATTTTGTAAGTTTTGTAATTTTACCAGCAACTTAATGTAAAACTATTTTTTTTTTTTTTTTTTTTACAAAATGATTAATATATGCTTGTGATATTAAAATACGTTAATAACACTTGTGTTATTTAAACAACTTTAATGTACTTTGCTTTACTTTTAATTTACTTTTTTAATGTTTACAACGAAATTCATTTCTATTAAAATAAAGATCAAGAGGTGGAATAAAAGATTTATAGGTTGAAACAGTAGATAATTATGTCAAAAAAGTAAAGTTTACTAAACTATTTATATAAATATAGCATGAAAGCTCAAATAAATAAATAAAAAATAAAAAATAAAGAAACCAAACAACTAATTTTTTAAGAGTAAAGGTAAGTTAATTAAAAGTAAAGTTTTTTAAAGCAACGCTTTATGAAAGTTGTTTCTGTATTTCCAATACCTAAACAAATGTAACTTATAAAACTAACATGGTCTAAAAAATAATCACATGCTTGTTGGATTATTTTGCTTAGATTTGCTAAATTTTCTATTTCGTTAATTTTTTTCGTATTAAAACAATAGATAAGTGTTTCTTCTCTAACTGAATATTTTGATTATTTCAATAAAAAAGATAGTTTTATAAAATTTCAAACTTTATTGTTATTATTTTTTTTTTTTAATTTATTATATTTGGAAATAATGAGCATATTTTATGTATTTGTAATTTTTATCCTAAATTTTTTCTTAAATTTTTGTCACAAGACTGTGCAGTATTTAAAATGTTAACTACTTCATAAAATACCAAATGTTAACTACTTCATAAAATACCATCAAAATAAAATATTACTTCATTAAAACAACTTATCTATAAATACCTATAGCATTTCGAAATGGTCTAAGTAGCACTAATTTAGTAATAATTTTCAAATAAATAACAAGAAACTTAACTTCAAATAAATAAAGAGAAATTCAAAAAATATCTATAGATATCAAAATATCTATAGAGTTATTAAATATTACTGAACAAAAAAGTTTTTAGCAAATTGTAAAAAGCATAACACAACATATATTGCACTTTGCATGAAATGCACGCAAAGTGCGATATACTTTTATAAAAATCTTCTATAGCGTATTTAGATGAGCATTTGCTCACTAGTTTTGCTTATCTTTATAGCATACAGTGCTTTTAGAAAATAAAGAAAAAGAATAACAATGAAAGAAAAGATTGCTGCCCCATCCCAAATACTCAGTCAATGTAGCAGCACTTTGCTGCAAGTCAGGCTATGTATGTGAAGCCTCCATCAGCAGGTTATTTTAGTGTGACGTCAGAGTGCTCATCTAAACTAACGATTTAAGTTATATACATATATACATATATACATGTAGCAGCACTCTTTGCATGTTCTACCTATTTGTCAGTATACTCCTTGTATGTTTTACCTATTTGCCAGTTGATGTAATAGAAATAAAAAATATTCAGAAGGTTTTTATTCTTATTAAAAAAATTTAATTAGTTTCCTCAATTAAATTTAATGATTTTTTTACATAAAGAGTACTTGATTTTGTCATTTTTAAAGATAAAATCAAGTTTTAATTATTTTAAAAGTCATTTCAATCATTTTAAAGTCATTAAGAACTATTTTAAAAAATCTAATTATAAATTCATGTAAGAAGTAAACTATACTTGATAAATTTAATTCCTTTGAACAAAGAGTTGGTACAAGTATGCTTTTTAAAACTTCACTTTTAATGCTAGCACTGATTCCATCAATAGAACTGCCATAACTACTATTGATTTCGCAATCAAGATCTGAATCAATCTGCACAATGTTTTGATGTTCAGGACAATCTTCATAATTCTCAACATGAAATTTAAAATTACCAGTCGAAATGTGAATATTATTTTCTTCTGTAAAAAGCTCTAGGAGAGTTTAAAAAAATAGCAATAAAAAATAGATTTATAAACTTCAAAGTCAAATAATTTTTTTTTTCTTTTTTTTAAAAACTACAAACAAGGACTACTATATGATAGTACACACAAAATTGATTTTCTGACTTAGTTATCAAAGGCAATTTTATTTTAAAGTTGAAGCATTCTTTATCATAGCAGTAATATTTTTTTTTAAAAATCTCTCACTTTTATTTTACTGAACAAATGTGAACTGTAAATGAGAATTATGATGAACTTAATAAGTGTCGTATTTTTAATTTACCTAACGATGAAAATGAGAAATGAAAGCCATCTAAAATTTTTATATGTGAAAAACATTGGCTTGAAAATACAGAAATTATTAAGCTTCCAGGTGGCTATATTCAACCACTATGTGCACCAAGTATTTTTAATGTTCTTGTTTACCAAAATTTAATTCAGTGCTTCACCACCCTAAGCCTGAGGATTAGCAACTTAATTATTTTATTAAAAATAAAGAAAAAATGAATTTTATCCTGAAGATTTTTTGTTACACAAAAAAAAAAATGTAACAATTATTCTTTTAGATTATGAAATTGAATTAAAGGATGCTATCAAGCAAAAGAAACTGAATTTTATTAGATGAAAATTCAAAGTATTGTAAAAAAATTGTGTAAAAGGTTTTAGCTGATTACTGCTTTGCTACTGAGTCTTTTTATAATTGAAAAATTTTAACTAAAAATGCTTTTTATGATAGTTGATGAAATAAAAATCAAGCCAACAGTTGCTTACTCAGACATATTTTAGGTGGGATGGCAAAAAGTCATCAAGAATCTAAAGCAACTTCTATGCTATGTGTCATGATGAAATTCTTACATGGTGAACCTAGTTTAATGGTTTCTCCTACCCCTGTTCACAATCTAATATCAATGTATCAATTCAGTGCCATTAAAGTAGCTGCTGTTATAGTTGAAAAACATGGTGCCATTATTTTAGGATCTGTAACGGAAATATTAATCATAAAATCAATTAGCAATAATTCAAAATTTTCAAAAGAACTGACTATCAGATCATTTATCTATTAGATGATCAGTGTGTTGGTTTCTTTTGTTTGATGATCAGTGTGTTGGTTTCTTTTGTTTGATGATCAGTGTGTTGGTTTCTTTTGTTTGATGATCAGTGTGTTGGTTTCTTTTGTTTGATGATCAGTGTGTTGGTTTCTTTTGTTTGATGATCAGTGTGTTGGTTTCTTTTGTTTGATGATCAGTGTGTTGGTTTCTTTTGTTTGATGATCAGTGTGTTGGTTTCTTTTGTTTGATGATCAGTGTGTTGGTTTCTTTTGTTTGATGATCAGTGTGTTGGTTTCTTTTGTTTGATGATCAGTGTGTTGGTTTCTTTTGTTTGATGATCAGTGTGTTGGTTTCTTTTGTTTGATGATCAGTGTGTTGGTTTCTTTTGTTTGATAATCAGTGTGTTGGTTTCTTTTGTTTGATGATCAGTGTGTTGGTTTCTTTTGTTTGATGATCAGTGTGTTGGTTTCTTTTGTTTGATGATCAGTGTGTTGGTTTCTTTTGTTTGATGATCAGTGTGTTGGTTTCATTTGTTTGGTACAGTTCAAACGTTATCTTTTAATAATAGAATTATTGCTTCTTTTTCTGATGTCAAACATCTATATCAATAAAAAAAGATAACATTTCTAAATCAGTTCTTATATTCTATGTTGCTGTTTATCATTCTAGACTACAGAATGTCCAACATGTTTTAATAATATTTAATGAGAAAGTAGTAGCTGCTCTAAAACTGAAACTAAATGGAGCTCATGAAACATCCTATTTTATTAAGCAGGTTTTAGATTAGTGGAATATTGTTAATACGCAAAAGGACATAATATAAAACTAGGAGACCACAACCAATCTGTGCAAGATAAAATTTCAAATCATTTGCAAGTATTTTTTGAACAATTTAAATTTGTGTAATTAGGGCATGGACTCAAATAAAGTCAATGTGTTACCCATGATACCAAAAAAGCTCTTGAGCATATCACCAAAGGGTTGATGTGAAGGCCTAATCAGTTTTGAAGATGCAACCTCAATTGAAACTTGCTTTTATGATGTTAGTTTGAAACTATAAAGAGCTCTATGTGGCAGGGTGGCTGGAAAAAAATTTGATGGTGAACTATTTATCCTGAGGATAAACCTTTACTAACAAATGAAGCTTAAGACTTTATTGAAGATGGTTCAAGGGGATATTGATTTGTACTTTGTGAAAAAAAAACTATTTTTATTTAAGTTTACTATCTAAAAATCTTTTAGCAAATGTTCTTTAACATGGAATTCAAACTTTAAAAAAAGATCAAGCAAAAAAGGCATATCTTTATCAGACATTAATTAAGAAGGCACAAGTAATACCCACACCTTACGGAGTAATATTTATTTATATATAGACTTTATTAATATGTTGTTGATTTGCTTATGGAGTTTATTATACTACTTTTTATATTTTAAAGAAATAAGTTTTTACATTACTATAAAATCTTCTAAAGCATACCTTTTATTTTTTTATAAACTTTATCAAAAGTTTTATCATATTGACTTGTTATTCTTTTTTTAAAAGGTTTTCACTTTATATTTTATTTTTCACTTTGCTATTTAGTTTTTAATATTAATAACTTATTTTCACCTAAAAATGATTTTAATGTTTATTTTTTATTTTGGTTAAATTTAACTTTAGAAGCCATTAGTAAGAAGTATTAAATGGCCTTTGCTAGCAAAGGCAGAAAACCAACTTTGCGTGATTTGTCATATAGTAGTCCTTGACTACAAACTATAAACAACTAAAAATTTATTGAAATAAAAATTACATTTGCCTACCTTTAGACAAAGTTGTAGCTTCAGTAACAACATAGAATGCATTGTCATCAATAAAGCTCAATGGATATTCAAATTCATTTGTAGTATTTAATAACATATATCTCAAAAAATCAGCGCTATGTTGAACATACTAAAATGAAAATTAAAAAAATTAAACATAAAAAAATATTTATAGAAAGCATATATAAAGATTTAAATAAAGATTTAGTGCCTAGGGCCTCAGTTTTCTCTTTAGCAGAGGATTGTTTTTAGCTAGTAAGTAAAATCAATCCTTCGCTAAAAAGTTTTTCAAAATAACTGCATCCCACCTCAACAGATTCAGCAAAGCTTTGCGAGAACACTTTTTTTTATTATTACTAAACTTTTTAACCACATAATCGAATAACTGTAGCTTAACTTCAAAGCTTTCTGAATCTAAACTGCATTTTTTATCTGGTAAATTTCCTTGCAATTTTTGATCATGTGTAATATAAGTAGAGATATATTATACCTTTTATAATGCCTTCCTCCTTAATGTGGCTTTAAACCTTAGATGGTTTTTTCCTTAATGTAAACTTTTGTGAGTTTACAGTTTATTTTTAACTTCCTCAAAAATGTCACTAAAAGCAACTGCATTAAGAAAATTATTGTTGTATTTTTGTTTACTGTTGCTTATTTTCCACCATATACTTAATAATTTAAAAAACTTGATGCATCACTTCTATCCGAAAAACAACTTGGAATAGCTGCAAAATGAGTAGGATCAATTATTGCAATATTGAGTAAATGGTAAGCTTTGTATCTCCTGTATGAAGTGATTTCTAAGATAATTTGAAACTTTTTTTTTTCAATATTAAATTATGTACATCTTGAAGTAACTTTCATGATATATCACCAGCATGTACATTAGGGTGTTTTTTCAAGGTAATTTTTTTATTTTCTCTGAACAAATGGATAATGCTTGTTACAAGGACTTTATAGCCAATATATTTTGTAGATAGTATAATATTTAGGAATTGCACTAAATGCCATCTACAAAACCTATTTAAAATTTTACTTAAATACAATTTTTTTGATATTTTTGTAAAAAAAAAAAAAAAAAATTTGAGTGCAATTCTGAGGCATCATACTAGTTAAATTAAATACTCAGTGTTTTTGGTTGTATTAAATAATTGGCAGACATTTTGTCAACTACTTGTTGTTTTTGGAAATTTTAATAAAAATCAGATTTTTCAGTTTTTTGTGAAAAGTTAATTTCTATTGATGACTAAAGGTACAGTTATGATTTTTCATGTTTATTATACAAATAGTGTAACAATAAACAATATGAATACATTTGATAGTGTTTATACAATTTAGATTTTTATGACCTGTTGCATGGATTTTTGAAAATAAATTATTATTGGACGCGGTTAATTTTAATATATGGTTTGTTTCATATTATTTAATCTTCGAATCTAAGTATAGCTTTTGATGTTATGCTGATCTCAAACTATGTGAACTGTGAAGTTTTAAATAATTTTATAACTTTTGCAGATTAAAGCTGTTGTGAAAAAAAAAAATCACCTAAGTCTCACATTCAATCTTGCTGATTCAGACTTGGACAGGAATGGTGTGCAATCGAGCGCTATTGCTGACCACGCAAATGATTTTATTTTTTGACAACTTGACCACGATTGTTTAATAAACAATGTTTGTATGTTTTGATGAGTTAAAAATTTCAGAAATGTTCTGAATGTAGAAACGCTAAGCTAAACTTAAACTAGGAAAAAAATTTGAAAAAAACTAACGAAAAAAAAATTCCTAACGAAAAAAGAAACGAAAAACAAATTCATAACGAAAAAGAAATTATATAAGCTCTAAAATAAAAATAAAAACTTAAACTCGAAGCAAAACTTTTAGTTATGTTTTTAATTATGTATGAAATAAACGTTATTAAAACTTATCTTTTTAAGCGTTATTAAAGTTACGCAAAACGTTTTTAAATTAAGTAACAAATTACTATTAATGATTGGTTTAATAAAAGAACAAATTTTATTAAATTTATTAAAAAGTGTTTTATATAATATTTTTAAATTGTATAAACATTTATTTTGTCAAAAAAGTTGCAAAAAAAATAATTGTTTAAAAAAATAACGTAGTCTTTTTAAAATAGTAATTTTTACTAATTTCATGCTCTAATTAGTGAGTCTAATTAAAAAAAAGGTTTTGAACTTTTTTATTCGTAAAAATAGAAGAAAAAAAAAATAATAATAAAATGCGCCTGCGATTTAAATAAATTAACTGCCAACAAGCTTTTTAATTTAATTTTAATTTGAGCATTACAACTTTATTAATTAGCGCTTCGCATAACGAATTTAAAAATTATTATAAAAGATTTAAACTCATTTCTAACGAAATAAAATAAAAAAAATAAAAATTGTTTACAAAAAATAAAATGTTTATTTCAAACATTTTTAAAAATCGAAAGTTTAATCATAAAAATTAATCGTATGAACATTACAAAATACTTTGAAACTTTTTCATTAAATCAACAAAATACATGCTTACATAAGTAAATAAAGTTATTTTATATTCTTGTGTAATTCACATAAAATGCGTAAAAGTTAGTACAAAAGCTTTTGAACTTATTCACAAATTAAAGTAACTTAAAAAAATTCTTTCTAAAAATAATGATTTAAAAATGTTTTAGGAAGACATAAGAAAATAGTTTCAAACGTTTAAATTTATCATAAAAAATAAATGCCTACTTAAAAAACACTTATTTATAACGTTTTTTATCAATTTACACAAGCGTTTATGTAAACAATAACTGTAATTAATTTTATGGTTTTATTTAAAGCCTTTGTGTAAAATAAAAAACTTTAGAAAAGATCAACGATTAAAAGATATTTATAACGTAACACTTTTTTAATTCCATTCAAATTGTTAAAACATCAAAATAGCTGTGTCAAGTTGTTAAGAAATAAAAATATCAGCATGGTCAGTTAACAGAGTGCAATCGCACATCATTCCAGTCCAAGCCTGCTGATTGGTAGTACGGCTGAAAAATTGAAAGCTTCGTTCCCATGTTGAAGTCTTGAGAGTATTATTTTTGTACCATGACAGTGAAAAAATGAGTTTGAAGGACAGCAAATATATAAAACGTCGCCTCTGTTGCAAATATGGGAGATATTTGCAGCAGAGAATTCTAACTAAGCTCTGAATCACGTTGTTAAACATATACAAAAATTGCACATGGAATGACAGCAACTGAAAAAGCTGATAAACCTGAAAAAGCTGATAATTCTGCAACTAAACTTTGAGAACTTTTTAGTTCAGGAAAAGCATCTTTTAATCAAGCAGTACTACTTATATCGAATAGGGATAGCAAAACAATGGATGATTTCACTGGTCCAGGAGGAGACAGTTGATTGACTTCCAATTCTAGCTTAGGGGGAAAATGTAGTCAAATTACTATCTGTTCTGAATTGATGATGGAACTGCAATTACAATGACCAATGTTATTGTAAATAGAATGGACAAGTAGGGATTACACAATTGTATCAAAGGACTGTGTTTTGATACCACAGCTTCAAATACTGGAGTGAAAAGTAGAGTTTTGAAAAAAGAAAAGTATTTGATTGGGACATGATCTCAGAGATATGATGGCGTGTCACCATCATATCTCTGAGATAATGCCCCAATCAAAAATTTGGTGAATTTGACTCTGAGATGTGTCAAAATCACCAAATATGGAACTATATGTCCATTTTAAGAAATTATGGCCAAGAATAAATAAAGATTTCCACAGACTTAGATGATGAACAGATGACAGCTACTATTGCTCCATGGAAAAATGAAGTCATCATATTTGCAGAATCTTAATTTGAAAAATATCAGTCACGTAATGGTTAAAGCAAACTACTGAAATTAACAATTATTTTTATTGGAGGACATCCCCTATGTAGAAGACATTTTTGCTATCCTGGAGCAATACAACTGGATCATGTGTCTTATGGCCCTTAACACTTTGACAAAATATGAAATCATCTAAAGGAGGTTTGCCTTTTTATAACTGCTACATATGTTCAATATTAGTTTTAAACACCATCATCTACAACAGCTCCAAGAAATTACCTTGCTTTACCTGCACTCTGGCATCATACCCAAACAAGGATGTAGCAAAGGCTGCCACAATCAGCTTTTTTTTTTTAAGAGTCTGAGAATCCGCCAAAAAATATCCTGTTATTCGATAAACCAACAACAAAAAAATTACATAATTTTAGGACAACACCAACATTGAGATTTTTCAAAATATTCAGCTTGTCTGAGAAATTCTTGCATTATGATCCTGACAACTGGGGACTCCAAGATGCATACAGAATAAATCTGAAACTTGCTCTGTCCATAAAAGTGGTCCACGATTTAGCCCAGCAAGGGGTTGTCTTGATCAAAGGATTTAATGCTAACACACAATAAAGAGCAAAAGCATTTTTAGTTGCAAATTGTTGAAATTATTGAACAATCTAAGGATTTAATAATTTGACTGTTTAACTAGAATAGCCCATATGACTGCTGAGTGCAATAAACCAAAATGACAAAAAGTCAACAATTGTTTAGTTATATAGTTTGTTAATTTTTTATTCTGTATCATTATATAGAATATATAACCTATTATTATCAAAATTAGATAGTACTGAAAATACTGTATTTTAATAATTTTTGCCCAATATGTGAAATAAGTGTTGTTTTTCAAAATGTCAAAGCTTTAATTAGATTGTGCAAGTCCAAAATATTATTAAATCTAATCAATACTTTGTCTGTGGCCATTAGACAGCTAGAATAATAATGGGTTAGAGAATACTTTTCTAACACTTTCCTTTTTTAGGAACACCCTAATGTACATCAATAACATCATAAAAATGTTTAAAATGAAAAGAATATAAAATCCTATAAAACAATGATTTTGAGATACCCTAGTTTACTATCTTACAGACAACTTATAAGTCTTATAGGTTTGCAATATTCTTATACTATCTTATAGGATATCTTAATAATATTAATAATATTCTTTAGTTCTTAATGATAATCATAAGAATGAATTTTTTTTAATATCTATGCTATAGTACTCTAAGATCTTCTTAGTTCCATTTGTATAATGTTACATACAAACGTCTGTAAGTGTAAATGTCTTCAGCATATGTTGAGTTTCTTTCCAGGCATCATATGAAATAATTGCGTCTATATATCTACAAAATGAGAAAACTTTAAAATTTTATTTAAATTTTTTTTTTATCTTACATATTATCTTATATATCTATAAAATGAGAAAACTTTAAATTTTATTTTAAATTTTAGAAATCTTTTTTGCTATATTATTAATTTTTTGCTATAAATATATAAGCAAGATTGAAAAAATTTCAAAACTTATTAGGCTAAGAGGAGGTCTTAAACCCTCCAAAACAACACTGATGACAGCGCACTTAATCACTGAGCTATCAATGAAATGCATTTAGCAGAAAAACAAAGCTAATTATAAATATCTTATAAGCTCTACGTATGCAGAAAAGGTGCGCATGGTTAGTTTTTTGCTCTTGAATTTTTTTTCAGAATAATTTATTTTACTAAAAAATATTGAAGGAATAGGTATATAAATTTTTGGCTAGAAATAGATATGTAAATTGGTAAAGACCTGTATTTTACGGATCCGTAAAGCTAGAATATATAAGGAAAAAGTATAGAAAAGTTTGGTTTGGAATAGATATACAAAGACCCGTATTTTTACAGGGTCGATCTCAGCTAGTTATTAGGATTGTAATTACTAATACTAATATATACAGGCTATCCTGTGAAATATATACAGGCTATCCTGTGAAAGCCTGTATAAATGTTGAAAAAAGAAAGAAACTAGTTAATAAAAATTTTTAAAAATTTAGTCATTTAATATTAAAAAAAACATTCATATATTTATCTAATTAGTAAGTAAATAATGATTAATGTAGATAAAAAACAGTATGGATCGACTTGAAGTAACTTTTGTTTATATTAAATATTATGTTATGATAAAATATTTATAAGAACATAAATCATTAAAAGAAAAAAAATTAATATTACCTGATTTAGGTAATCCTTTGCAAGGTATTTTGGCATATTTCAAAACATATTTTGCATCCACATTTTAAAAATATAGCTAAATGTGTTAAATACATATTCGAACTTTTATTTAATATTTTAATAACATTAATTTTTTATAATCTTTTACTTTTATAAAATTTATTTATTGTATTTAATTATCAAAAAACTTTATTATTACATAATAATGACAGAGAAATAAATGATAAATAAACAAATAATAAATAAATATTAACAGCAATAGAGTTAATTTATCTAAATAAACTGACAAAATGTACAAACTACATTACACAGATCTACAATCCACTAATCAGCACATCTAAGACATGTTCACTTTTGATATTAAATGTCTAATTAATTATAAGTTTTTTATTTTATTTTACAAAACTCTGATTTCTCTTAGACTGACTTTAACTAAGCCATTAGGTTTGCCATTAGGTTTGCCATTAGGTTTGCCATTAGGTTTGCCATTAGGTTTGCGCAGGCAACAAAGTTTTTTTTTTAGAAAAAAAAATAAACTTGTTTAAACAAAAGCCTCCAAAGATGACAATTTCAGTATGAAGTCATCAGTGAAGTTTTAGTGTAAGCCTATGTATGCAAATTATATATATATATATATATATATATATATATATATATATATATATATATATATATATATATATATATATATATATATATATATATATATATATATAAAATATAACATGAATTTCGAATAAAAAAGGCTGCATAATTATTGCATCAATATTTATGTGCAAAAGCAAGCATTTTAAAGATATAGGATTAGCAACTTAACTTTGCCGTAGACGAGGACCTAAGTTTTATATTAATTCAAAGTATGTTTTATGTTGATTCAAAATGTGTTTTGGTAATTCAAAGTGTGATTTATGGTTTTTACTTTTTAAAGAAAATTATTGATTTTATTTATAGATTTATTATTTAAAAGTATAAGCCTGCCATGAAAAGCATAATTAAAACATGCCTTTAAAACAATTATAAATAAACATTAAAAATAACATAAATATACAATTAAAACTATATTTTCCTTGTAAAAAAAATGTACATAAAACGCACAATTTTTATATAAAAATATTTCCACACACTGTTTTATTATTTCAAAAAGAACTAAATAATAACTGATAATGTTTAAAAAAATAACTCATAACATAATTAATAACAATAAAAGAAAATAATATAAATGGCAATCTGGAAAAATAATATGCTAACAAAAAGAAAAAGAGATCACAAATTATAAAAACAAAACTTATTAAAAAAAAAAATTTCAAGTTTTCCTTTTACATAATTATTTAAAGGAAAATTTTATAACTTTTTAATTTATTTAAATATCTAAACCAGCCAAAATAAGTGAAATAAGAAAGAATGTGAAATAGAAAGAGTGTAAATAAGAAAGAATGTTTGTGAAAAATAATTATAAAAATTGCTAATCTATATACAATACAATATTATGTATATTAAAATTTTTGTATAATAAAATACAATTATAATAAGTCTAAAAAAATGTGCTGAGTTTAAATTCCAAGATCGAAATCAAAATCAGATTTAAAAAATATAAAGTTTCTGTCATAGCATAAGTATAAAAAATAATTTTTGTCTTCAAAAATCTTCTGAAAATTTGTCTTCTACTTTTATAGAATTGTTCATATTTTGTTTAAAAAAAACTGAAACTATATCGTACATATATTAAAAAAACATCAACTTTAGAATATCAGACAATAGACTAAAAAAGTTAACCATTAAATAAGGGCTGAACTGGATTTGCAAAACAATTTTTTATTGTGATTTAACAACTGAAAGGAGTCTTTCTCCCCAGATATTGTATGGCGTCGCGGAATTATTTCAAACTCAGGTAAGATGAACGATTTTTTTAAAAATTTGGAAATATTATGATATTCATTGATCGAACTGTCTACAAATTCTTCTTGGGGATGAGAAAATGGGATGCTATGAGAAGTTATAACATCGTATGATTTATCAAAACAGTTTTCAATTAAAGTTTTGTTAACATTGATTAAACGCTCTGTTTGAGAAAGTCGGTTTTTAGATTTTTGTTCTGCTGATGTTTCCAATAAAGACTGGACTTGTTTCCTAATTTTTACTAATTCAGTCGGACCACTAACCTGAGAAAGGCTTTCGCCTAAATTTTCATTGCATCCAATATTTTCATCATTTTGATTTAAAAATAAATCGCTAGATTGAGAAAGGCTTTCACCTAAATTTACTAATTCAGTCTGACCGCTAACCTGAGAAAGGTTTTTGTCTAAATTTTCTTTGTCTCCGATATTATCATCACGTTGATTTAAATATAAATTAGAATTGTTTTTTTCCTCTTGTTTTTCAACGTCTTTATAAACTAAAACATTGTTGTTAGATTGTGATTCAGATCCTACCCCTTCTCCTCGCATTTCTGAACAAACTTTTCGTTTCATTTCACGCGATTGATGAATATCGTCACTTATCAGTTCAAGATTATGGAGAATTTTTGCATATTCATTTTTAGAGACCTGAAGACCTTCTTGTACCTTTTCAAGGCGTGTCTTCTGGAGCTAGACAAGAATAAATAAAAATGAAATCAATAAAAAACAAAAATATTTCAAAAAATAACTTAAAAATCTGCAGACAAAGAAGTAAATAAAGAATTTATTTTCAATAACAAATTAAATTAGTTATTGAATTTAAATTAAAATTAAAAAAAAAAAGTTTTTTTGATTTTTGAAAGAATAAAAAAACCAAATAAAAATTTTTAAAACAAATAGTAAAAATTCAAATGCATACATCTAACTGCTGGTTGAAACTTGATTTCAAGTCAAAGTAAGGTCTAAACAGTTTATAAAAAGTATTTATGCAATGTATGACTTATAATTATTAAATTTACAGTGGAGTGCTGGCTCCAAAAAGCCCATGCGGGATTTTTCCAAAACAGCCAACTTATGTTGGATTTTATCAAATAAGTTTGATTTGAAGCTCTATAAGTATATAAATGTAACATAGAGTAAACTAATTTGCAAACTAATAAACTGGTTTTAATCAGCAATGACATTATTGCCTAAAAATTAAAAAAATATAGATTTAAAACGAAGATCTAATGTTTAGAAGAATGTAGAAAAATTAGTGACTAATTTTTGAGAATGTAGAAAAAACAATAGATAATTTTTATTGCTTGAGGGTAAAAACAATTTTTTTTTGTTCAAAAATATTTTAATAATGTTAAGTAAATAAACAATAGATTATCCAGGTATTATAAATACTTTATTGATATTAAAATTAATATATACCAAGATTTATTTGAGAAAAAATTTACCTTACTTGCAAAACCAGAGATTAAGTGTTTAACTATAGTTTCGAAAATGTGTGTTACAATTTTGAATAAAACAAGAAAGGTTATGCAAGATCATTTAAATGTTGTTTACTTTCATACATTGCATTAAAAAGTACAAATTAGATTTTTTTTTTTTTTTTTTTTTTTTTTTTTGTCATTCAAAATAATTTACATGCTTTGAAATCGTTTTTTCAAATAACATTTTACATGAAAACTTTCGATTAAAACACTTAATATTAACAGCAATTTCTTTTGTTAACGAGTCTATAAATTTTTTTAATTTTTTATCTTTTTTGATTATTGACATTAGATAAACTATTTTTCTTTTTCCAAAGATTTAATAATAAACTTTTTTTTTTAAAAAAAATTTTTTTATCATTTTAAAAATATTTTGATCGCATAGAAAGGTCAGATAAAAAACTTGAGATTTCAAATTAATGAATTGTTTTAACTGCATGGATACATAAATAATCTGGTGGTCTGTGCATGCAATAATTAAATTTAAGACTAATAGTTTCATTCATAAAATGTTTTAATTAAAAAAATAATTTAATTGAAAAAAATATTTAGTTTTTCAACCAATATTTTTTTACTATTCAAAACTCAGCTATTGCAATTTCTTTTAATTAAATAATTTCATAATCGCAACTTCTCATCTGACCATCACATTTGCTTAATTCAACTTTTGAAGTGGTTTCTTTTATCTATTACATTTGTTAAAAGCAATTTATGTGATGTAGTAATAAACATTTGTAATTAATTTTGAGGCTGATGTTATACAGTGTTTGCAAGTTATTCTGCAAAATACTGATTTGCTATTGTGTCATGTTTAACAAATCAGATAATCAATGAATTTAATTTTTGAAAGCAAAATGAATAAAAAACTCTTTTATATATATATATATATATATATATATATATATATATATATATACATACATACATACATACATACATACATACATACATACATACATACATACATACATACATACATACATACATACATACATACATACATACAGGGTGGCCACATGAAAATTTTATAAGAAAAAGAGGATATTAGAGGATTTTAGAGGAGATTTTGCATTAAATTTAGAGGATTTTTTTTGCAAAACTACAAAATTTTAAATAAAAATAGAGGATTTTAGAGGATTTTTTTTTTCAAGGTTTAACACCTGTTTCCACATAACTGGGGTTTGGATAAAGGTCAACAATGTCATTATTTGTTAGATGACATGGATTTGCTAAAATTGATTTTTTACAACCCAATTCTCATTTCAGATTTTACGAATTTTGCAGACCATGAATTTTAAACATTATACTACCATCAAGAAATAAAAAATAATAAAAAAGAGAAGTTAAAGAAGAGATTTTATGATATTTTTAACTTTTTAGAGGATTATAGAGGATTTTAGAGAAGGTTTTTGAAAAAAGAGGACTTTAGAGGATTTTAGAGGAGCTGTGGCCACTCGAGTACCTAATGAGCCAGTGAGTAATTTTATCCAGTTGTCTAAAAAGGATTCCTAACTTATTTGGAAATGACCCAAAAAATCCCTTGGAGGGGTAATTCCATAGCTAATAGAGATCACTTTAAAGAAAAAATTAAAATCTTTTAATTACGTCTGCATGAAAAAATTGAATTTAAAGTTTCCGCCTAAATACACCAAAAACCTTTATTTTCAAACAATGTTTGCACAGCCAAAAGTTTAAAAAAAAAAATTTTTTTCGTTTTAAATTTTAAAATATCATAAACTAATATCCCTTAGATTTGAAATTATGTTTTAATAAAGAATATTTGCATATACATTCCAATACTAGTATATCAATATACAATATATAATACTAGTATACCAATATACATGATGATCCTTGAGTATAATTTCGCTTGAAATATGTGTCAATAATTTTCAAGAATGAAGCACCTCCATCTAATACTCTTACTGAGAAAATATGGTTGATTAAGGCATTCAAATTCTTGCAGTGAACAACTTTTTGAATTTGACATTTAACATCATGAAAAAATCTGCTGATTTTTTGTCAAGTTTTTTCTTCATGTTTGCCATTGAGCTGTTTAGAGCTGTGCAAGCCTTTTTACACCAACGTTGGAAAGACTCCTACTGTTATCAACTTGGACCAATTTTTTTAGCAGTAAATAGTTGTTGCTTGTACTTTGCTTTATGTCCTGGCAGAATTTTTAAAGATTTGCTTCCACTTGCTCAACTAAGTTTGACAGTACCTCCTGGAGAGGCATCTTTTTTAGAGATAAAATCAGCTTATATTTGTTCACACACTTACGGTCTATGGCAAGTTTCTATACATTTTTCTGCCTTGTACCTATACTACAAAAGTGAGGATGTCCTTTTGCAACTACTGATGCATCTTTTTTCAGCTGGCTGTGTAGGTTATAATAAGTTAATACAATGTTGTTTAGACATTTAAGACAAAACAAAAGGTTTTTTTTAGTACCTTTTAGTAGAAACACATTTTGAAAACTAAGTTCCTTAGTGTATGTTAGGCAAAAACTTTAAATGGAATTTTCTCCAGCGGACATAAATTTTTGTTTTAAAGTGATAACTTTAACCTATAGAATCGCTCCTCCATGGGATTTTTATTCACAGTTGTGTATTAATACTATATATTTATATATTTTAGTTGATACTATATATATTTTTTACCAATAGAGCACATGTTACTTCACACATTGGGATTTTACAAGGTTCAATTTGTTAAATTACCTTTCTCTGAATTGGTTAATTAAAAAAAAATAATTTGAAAAAAAATTTGTTAAATAATAAAAATTTAGAGATTTAATTTAAAGATTTTCTTTTTTATAATTTTATTTATCATGCTAGTTAATCAACGAAATTTCTCTTAGAAGAATTAATAAATACTAGCAGTAAGCACCCCATTATTGGTTATTAGTAAATAAATTATCAACTACAATGTAACTTGATACAATATCTGAAAATATAATTAAATATATATTTATCTATGCTTTTAATTTCTGCATAGCCACTATGGGGCCAGCAAGCCACTGTAAATTGAATTTAAAGAATCATAAAATATTAATAAAGAAAACAACCTTGACTTAACAATGTGCTTTTTTAAAGAATCATAAAGATCCAGAGCAACTTTGTTTTTTTTCTCAAACTCAACACTTGCATTCCGATGAACTTCCCAAGCTTTTTGCGATTGGGTAGCAGCTTCCATTACCTTATTACACAAATTAAAATTAAAAAAGGTAAAACAAGTAATTAAAAATATAATTTTTTAACCTAAGCAAAATATAATTTTAAAATTGATTAAATAAATATAACATTAAATTTGAACAAGTCAAACTGCAATTAAAATAAAATCTTCTAATAAATTTAATAGAAAAAATGGTTTTATTCATGTTTACCTCTACTGTAGCTTGATTGAGCATTTCTTGAAGCGCAGGATCTAATTTACGATCTGTGGAGGAAAAGACAATTCTTTCTGTATCAGTAACAAGTTTTTTTGCATTAAAATGGCGTGTTTGTGCTTGCTCGAATTTTAAAGCAGCTTCATGAAGTTCACTGTGACTCTTGGTTAAGAATAATTAAAAATATAATTTCACATATATATACATATATATACACACACACATATATATATATATATATATATATATATATATATATATATATATATATATATATATATATATATATATATATATATATATGTATATATATATATATATATATATATATATATATATATATATATATATATATATATATATATATATATATATATATATATTTGGGTTCGGACTGTCTGCGCAGATCTGCGCAGACAATGTAGTTTGTCTGCGCCGACAAAATTTACTTAATTTACGCCGACAAAATTTACTTTTTGAAATCAACAAAAAAAGTTTTAAACTTAAAAAATGTTTTAAGTAATATTTTAACTTTTTTATAAATTCAGTGATTAGTAACAATAGGAGTTTTCAAAGATTCTCACAGTAGTAAAAATATATAATGCTGGCGCCTATTCGGTGATTTCTTGACATTCAATTTCATTGAGAATTGCACCTTCTTCAAGAATGGAATTAGTCTTGTCCTTTGTGTCCATACCAGCTTTTCAACTCTCACATTCGTAAGACGATTTCTTAGTCGCGAGTGAATAAATCGAAAGGTTGACCAAGCTCTTTCTGCTGTAGCTGATGAGCAGATCATTTCGTTAATAAGCTTAGCAATTTCGTAAACAGCATGATATTTATCGCGACCGATAATGTTCCAATAGTTTCGCGCGTTCATCTTGAATATT